TCAGGCCACGGACCGGCACCTGGACGCAGACCAGGGGTTGACGACCTCTGCCTTACAGCACTTTTCAAGCCTTGGATATTATGGCTGGTATCAAGACAGCTGATTGGAATCCTTGAGCTCATGAGGCAAGACAACTGCCTGAAGGAAACATTGATCACTTATCTTCCATCATTACAATACTAATCCACAGGGGTAATGAAAATGCAAAATCAATTGCTATTTACAGATTTACAAAATCTGCTATTTTGAACGTCCACTTTCTTTAAATTTATGAATTAAAAGATATATATACAGTTATACACAGTCAACATGTATATAAATTTCCTAGGCTAATTCAAAGAGAGGGGAGAGATAAGTATTTGCTTCTTGAAAGACTCATTTTGAACATTTATTTAATCATAAGCAGAACCTTTGGAAGCAAATGTATGTGCACTACATAATTTTTCTCTGACTAAAAGCAAAACAGAAGCAAGACTTTTTTTTAATGAAAGACAAACTGCTAGTCACACCAAAAGGAAGCAAATCCATAGGAGTAATTCTGCACATGCTGGTTGATGCCAGTGAGTTTAAGCATGCAATCATGTTGGGTTTGGTTTATAAGCTTTGGTCACATTCACTCCAGTTTTCATGAGTCAAAGTGGAGGAAGATTATCCCAGAGACTCTGAATGGTTGAGGTGACATTGTCCTACGGACAAGGTCCATCAAATCTCCAGAACGCTGTAATCCTGTGTGGCAAGCCTCAAGAATTACAGCTCATTATATTGTTTCTTCAGGGTGTTCACCACTCATCTAACATCCAGTTTTACCAGGATGTACCTGCTAGTTAAATGTGACCAAAAGATTGAGATTATACAGTATATAAATTCAGAACAGAATAGGACTAGAACGTTCTGTGCAACAATAAACATGGCACACTGTAGTTAATTTAAGAAATAAATTAATTGCCCTTGAATTAATCCAACACACAGTGTGATCAATATGAAAAAATAATAAGACTGTAGTCTAATCATATTAAGAACTTTTTAGTGGCTGAGGGTTTATGGAAAAAGCAGCAGGGGATATGTGATAAAGCAGTAAATGATCCAGACAATATCTTGCATGTTTTGCAGATAAGATATACAGAAGTAAAGATCTTTAGAACAACTGTTATGTGTAAAAATAAACTTGAATTGGAAACACATGTGGTAGAAATGTATATGTGATTTATTGTGAATAGATTGTATTATCAAATTAATGGAAAGAAGAAGAGGTTTCTGTGTTTTTCAATCCAATTCTTCTAGTTCGTTTTGAGTCCAATCTATTATTCCAGCTGGGTATCTAATTACTGGAACATGTGTGTATGGCTTTGATTGTACAGTATTTCCCCCATTTAATTCTGAGTATAAGATTTTTCGCAGTCTTTTGATATATTCTCTTTCTGTCAGTTCTTTAACTTTTGTGTGCATGGTGTTGTCTACTTTTGTGTGCACAATGTTGTAATCCAAGGTATTGTGAGCCAGAAGAGGAGAAGGAGAAAATAAGAGTGAACCGTCCCCTCAAACATCTGAGAAAGAGGAAAAAGAGATAACCAAAGTGATTACAAAGATTAAAGGGTTAAAGGTGGGAAAAGAGGAGGAGGAGTCAAAGGAAAGAGTTCGAAAGCAGGTGGATGTATTCCTCACGTCACAGGAGGGAAAGGAATCAAGGGAGACCAGAAGGGTGGTGGTTTTGGAAGAGGAATGGATGGAAGGAGAAATGGAACCAAGGGTGTTCCAAATACCACAGAAAGGGATAGATTTAGAGAGGATAGAAACTGTAAAGCACCCGATGGGAAGAACAAGGGAGTGAAACCAGTTATTGAAGGATTATGTCCAGAGGAATGGACAGTTTTAGCATGTCCGCGGGGGCAAGGTCCCTTGAAGAGGGTAACTCGGCCAGGACCGCTCTGGCCTCAAGAGAAACTGCCGGAGGGAGAATGGGCATGTCACCCCTGTTATGGGATAATTTGTGTGATATAGAATGGGTGCCTGAGAAGACCCACAGACCTACTTTTCCAAACATCCATCATTTTTTTTTAAAACTACAGGCTATCGATTTTCAGCAAGAGGCCACGTTTTGTGTTTATGTTGTTCTAGTAGCCTTGCAGTAGTCTGTCCTGGCCCCTCAACAGTGTCTGCTGAACCCTGTAGCCCATTTGTCACCAGATGCCCAGAGGCTATAGCATCTGACATGGTCCTTGTTGACCTAGACGATGAAGGATCTGGTATGGATTTCTGTTTATTTCCTCTCATCATAATTAATGGTTGGTGGACACAGTTGGTCTGGCTTCTCAGCTGAGACCTGTCTGGCTTGGGAAACCCTTTAGCATAGATCTCATCCTCACTGAAGCATGCAAGCCCCTCTGCCTCAACAAGGCCTATGCCCATGGAGGATATGATGATGATGATGATCTAAAAACACCAGGTGCAGTCAAAATTATAAAAAAACATTGACTGGACACCAGGTGCAGTCAAAGTTATAAAAAACATTGGTATTATACAACAGATACAAGTGTTAAACAGAAACCTAAGTACGTATCTGTTAAATATTGGAAGGGATTATTATTATCTTAAAAGATGACACTGTTAAGGTGCTCCATTCAATATGCCAGCAAGTTTGGAAAACTCAACAGTGGCCAGAGGACTGGAAAAGATCAGTCTACATCCCAATCCCAAAGAAGGGCAGTGCCAAAGAATGCTCCAACTACCATACTATTGCACTCATTTCACACGCTAGCAAGCTTATGCTCAAAATCCTGAAAAGTAGGCTACAGCAGTATGTGGACCGAGAACTCCCAGAAGTACAAGCTGGATTATGAAGGGGCAGAGGAACTAGAGACCAAATTGCTAACATGTGCTGGATTATGGAGAAAGCCAGAGAGTTCCAGAAAAACATCTAGTTCTGCTTCATTGACTATGCAAAATCCTTTGACTGTGTGGACCACAGCAAACTATGGCAAGTCCTTAAAGAAATGGGAGTGCCTGACCACCTTATAGACCTCCTGAGAAACCTATACGTGGGACAGGAAGCAACAGTTAGAACTGGATAGGGAGCAACTGATTGGTTCAAAATTGGGAAAGGAACCTATGTCTGGTGTATATTGTCCTCTGCCTTATTTAACATATGCAGAATACATCATGCAAAAGGCTGGACTGGAGGAATCCCAAGCTGTAATTAAGATTGCCGGAAGAAATATCAACAACCTCTGATATGTAGATGATACCACGTTGATGGCAGAAAGCGAGGAGGACTTAAGGAACCTTGAAATGAGGGTGAAAGAGGAGAGTACAAAAAAATGGTCTGAAGCTCAACATCAAAAAACTAAGATCATGGCCACTGGTCCCATCACCTCCTGGCAAATAGAAGGGGAAGAGATGGAGGCAGTAACAGATTTCACTTTCTTGGGCTCCATGATCACTGCAGATCGTGACAGCACCCACGAAATTAAAAGATGCCTGCTTCTTGGGAGGAAAGCGATGACAAACCTTGACAGCATCTTAAAAAGCAGAGACATCACCTTGCCGACAAAAGTCCAAGTAGTCAAAGCTATGGTTTTTCCTGTATGGAAGTGAGAGCTGGACTATAAAGAAAGCTGACTGCCGAAGAATTGATGCTTTTGAATTGTGGTGCTGGAGGAGGCTCTTGAGAGTCCCCTGGACTGCAAGGAGAACAAACTTATCCATTCTAAAGGAAATCAAGCCTGCGTGCTCACTGGAAGGACAGATCCTGAAGCTGAGGCTCCAGTACTTTGGCCATCTCATGAGAAGAGAAGACTCCCTGGAAAAGACCCTGATGTTAGGAAAGTGTGAAGGCAAGAGGAGAAGGGGACGACAGAGGACAAGATGGTTGGACAGTGTCATAGAAGCAACCAACATGAATTTGACCCAACTCCGGGAGGCAGTGGAAGACAGGAGGGCCTGGGGTGCTCTGGTCCATGGGGTCACGAAGAGTCAGACATGACTAAATGACTAAACAACAACAACATGTTCATGCATAATGGAGAATATTTTGAAAACAACAGAAACAAAGGCTCAATATAACAAACAACAATTTGAAAATAAATTAAACAGCTGGAAAAATAAACCACTACATGGACAACACCTGAGAAATATTGATAGAAAGCCTTGGACATGGCTAAATCTGGAGACTCTTGGGAAAGAAACCGAAGGCTTGATTTTTGCTGCACAAGAACAAGCACTCCAAACCAACATGATGAAAGCTAAGATCCAAGGAATTAGTGCTAACAGCAAATGTTGACTCTGCCAAGAAAAAGATGAAACTGTGTCACACCTCATCTGTGAATGTCCAGAGATTGCCCAAACAGGCAAAGTTGGTGCACTGGTCATTATGCAGAAAATGGGAACATCAGGTAGAGAATGTGTCAGAAAATGAAGAAGTCAAGATCTTGTGGGATTTCTGGATCCAAATGGACAGACACTTTGAACATCACACACCAGACATAGGTTCCCAAACTTTACTGCCCCATAGACCACTCGCCAACATATTTGTTTGCTGTAGACCCCCTGCCCCCTGCAAAGCTTTGATACAAGTCTAAACTTGCACCCCTAATTTTTTTTCTCTCTGACATGGACCCCCTGCAAGTCGAAATTGACCCCTGGGGGTCCATATAGACCACTTTGAAAACCTACTCTGGATCATTGACACCTGCAATTCCAGGGGATGCCAGAGTTGAAAATAAAAAATTGGAAAAACTAACAAAGTAGAGAGACCTGGCAATTGAAACATCTTGCCTCTGGACGAAACACACTTCAGTGGTCCCCATAGTCACTGGAGCTTTGGGAACAATATTAAGAAATTTCATACAGTACTATAAGCAGTTGCAGATTTCAGAAATCACACAATTAGAGCTTTTTAAAAAGGCAATATTAGGAACAGCATACACACTGTGTTGATATTTAATAGATACTTAGGGGTTATTGTAAAATAAAAATCTTGTCTGTTCCAAATTCCTTGCAGGACTTCCAACTATAGTATGGGAACACGGGCCTTTTCCCATGACAGTATTTTTATACCTGATGGGCGAGCAGAGAGCGAAGAGTCAATTGAAGCAATGTCACAAGACAACATTGTGGGCAAAGTCAAATCTCTTCAGGTAAGAATTTGCAAGAACTGCGTAGCAAGGTATGATGAACTCTCTTGTTCCTTTTTTAAAAAATTCACCATCTTAGCATTAGTGTAAGTTTTTTCTTCTGTGCCCCATTATGTGCTACATGCCATGCTCTGCAGGTGGGTGAACTGCATTTCATGACAACAGAGGAGCTGGTGACTGCCGTGGCAACATTTGTTCTTCCCTGTAGCTGGCTAGTTGACACAACAGGCATAATCAAATGGAGAAACTCTTCCTGCCTGCATGCTTTCAGGTTACATGTTTTCATTTTTAGTTGGACATGTCCCCCTGGGGGAAAAACATTTTTTAAAAAATAGAAAGCATAACTGACAGACTTTTCAACTGTGAGAATGTTGTAGCACGGAAACATTCAGACAAGCAGTTCCCCACCTACACTCTGAAGTGTCACATTTCAGGGTTACTACTTGAGTCTGCTTATTGTTATCAGGGCCAACCAGGATGATACAATTAACAAATCATTAGACATGGGGTTCCTTTAAGAGGAGAATATTGTCAGTGTTTTCTGCCACTAGCCTGCCTCAGTCTGTATTAAGTGAACTGGCTTTTGATTTCTTATTGGCCACTGAGAGATTCTGAGAGTTTTTTTTCTTCTTCTTCTCACGTGCGACTTTTTCAGCTCCTAAAGATGTGTATGTTTGGAGAGATAAGGTTGTAAGAGGAGAATCTGAGCCTTTGCCTTAGCATGTTATCTGACCCACAAATGGACAGATGTTGCTGTGTTCTCCAAACTAATAGACAGTATTGGGCATTCAGGTGTAATGAGGCTGTAGCCCTCTTGATACTTTCTAATAATAGATAAGGAGCTCTGCGGGATGAATAATTGCTGACTCTTAATTGTGCTTTTAAAAGCAGCTCTTTATAATAGAAATGCCTACCAAAAGAGGGTTTTTCCTCTACTAAGAAAACTGGTGACTATGTGCTAATTGGTTTGGAAGCAAAGCAGGGCTAACAATAAAAAAGAGTTCTTTGTATATATGTGTGTATATATAATGTGAAGCTCATCTACTCATGGGGAGCATTCTTCATTGTGCAAATCTTAATTTGGAAAATCCGTGCGCGCACGCGCGCACACACACATCTCTGTCCTCCATGATACCTGGCAGTCTCTCTGCTCTTGCATGAAGGAGAAGAATGAAGGTTGGTTTGCCCATGAGACCAGTTAAGTCCAGTGTATACTCAGAACAAAAGAAGAGGGCCTGCTCAGCTTACACTACAGTTTTTTCCAGCATGTGGTGTGTTTTGGTTAATGCTTCTCCGTGCGCGCACGCGCGCACACACACATCTCTGTCCTCCATGATACCTGGCAGTCTCTCTGCTCTTGCATGAAGGAGAAGAATGAAGGTTGGTTTGCAGCTGAAACCAGTTAAGTCCAGTATATACTCAGAACAAAAGAAGAGGGCCTGTTCAGCTTACACTACAGTTTTTCTAGCATGTGGTGTGTTTTGGTTAATGCTTCTTTAGATTCTGGTAGTTTAGAAATTGAACTGGCTGGATTGTTAAAGAGGTTTGGTTAAGAGTTCAATTCCCCACTGTGCCTCCTGTGAGTAAAGCCAGCCTGTGTGGCCTTGGGCCAGCTGCACAGTCCCAGGGTGTCCCCAGAAAAAGGGAAAGGTAAACCACTTCTGAGTACTCTCTAGCTGGAAAACCCTGAAAAGGATCACCATAGGTCAGAAGTAGAAAACAGGGGACATTATAGCTCTTTGTTAAAGAGGTGGGATTTACATTTCTGATAATAAAGATGAGAAGAACAAATTAGGCAACTAAGGTAAAGGGCATAGGAATCTGGTATTGTGCCTTTATGACAGCCCGGGTCTAATCTGCCATAGGAATACAATCACATCGTGTGAAAAGTCATACTTTTAGAAGAGGTAGCCATGTTAGTCTGTGCGAAGCATATCAGGCAAAATTCAAAGAAAGAAAACTAAACTAATACAAGAACATGTGGCACCTTAAACATAGGCCTAATTACTGCATGTAACCAATTAACATTTAGAATGTGAATGTGAAATTTCATCTACATTTCATTCCATTTCATTCCGATTCTTTATGTCTGATGAAGTGGATGTGTTCATGAAAGCTTACATTATAATATAATATTTAGTCTTTAAGGTGCCACATGTTTTGGTCATTTTTTTGTTTTGCTTTGTTTTGTTTCTTTGGATTTTGCCTGATATGGTATGAAAAGGGAGATTTTGTGGGAATGTATGTGGCAGGTAAGTGAGTGAATAAGAAAAGGAGGGAGGGAAAGAGGATGGGTGAGTAAAGAGCAAATGAATATATTCCCTCCATCCTTGCCCACTCCACTCTGAGATTGTTAGTAGCTAGCAGAGAGGAAAATAACTGAAGAGTGAGCAAGCAGATTCAAAAGGAAAAATCAAGGTTCTGGTTCATTTGGAAAATAGCCACAGCTGCCATTCATACTGAAGATGAGCTTTTTCATAGTTGTGGTAATATGGTTCATAAATAAAGTACCATTTGCCTTCATATAGCCTTTAATATCTCCTTTCCGGTTGACAGAGTCATTTATATCCTTTCCTGTCTACAAGCTCTTTAAATGACAGTGGCATCTCTCTTAAAATTAGAATCAGCAGTAATTAGAACACGTGTCAATTCTAGTCACAAGAGACAACAGTGAAGTTAAATCTTCATTACACTGGATTTGAGTAATTAACGAAGCTAAACTTTTTTTTTAAAAAAAAAGCCAAAGCTGAAAATAGCTTCAAAAATTCATCTTGTCTGAAATGTGGAAGGCATGTGAACAGGAAGCACACTTCATAAAAGCCAGTCTATCGTGAACAAACATTTTTATCTTAAGCATGTGCTTGATGCTTTGAATAAATAAGTTCCGGAATGTAGAGGTGTGCAGATTTGTGATTTTGGACTTCAACTCTCAGAATTCCCTCTGGGGAATCACTTTGGAGTTGAAGTCCAAAAACACAAATCCTCAGATCTGTACTAAAAGGAGTGAAAACTGAAGATGAAATGCTAGTATCAACAAAGGCTCTCAGAGAAGTATATACAGATGCTAAATACCCTAATGGGAGAAGGTGGCTGAAATCCTGTTGCACGGTTACTCAGATGGCATACGTTTTTGAAATGAATTGCTGCAGGTTAAAAATCTCTGTAGACACTATTTGTTGCACACTGGCTTGGTTTGCAACAGATAATGCCTACAGAGATTTCTTAAACTCAGGAGTGACTCAGCCTTCCATCTTTCCAAGGTCCATAAAATGACTACCCAGCTCTCTGGGGGCAAAGTGTTGTTTGCATAATTATGTTGTAAGCTTTCTTGAAAGGCTTTAGCACCATGGAGTAGTAGTCAGTATAAGTCAAAATGACAATTTACAGCTATTTACACCTAAAATTTACTTCATTTGCGTAGCTGTATAAGAACGTTTCAACTTATATAAGTATGCATGCATGCATCTATATATATTTACTGCAGATCCTACAAGACTGGCTTTCTTAACACAGCCAGAGGACCTATCTGCTGGGGTGGTTTCCAATGGCGCCTGGTAACTCCAGTTTCAGGGTTGCTAGGAAAACTATGCTGAGTTTTAGTATGTACTTTACAGAAGCTAAAATTGCTGACCTCTGTTCCCAAAATAGGTTCAGCACCTTGGACAATTCCTACACGCATCCCCAAAATTGGGAGCCATTAGCTGCCTTGCTGGCTGCCGTGGTTCAGAAAGGTCACTCTTCCTGCCTCTGCAAAATGGGGGGAAAGACCAAAGAACAAAACAGTAAAAATTAACACATTAAAAATATATTGAATTTTCAAAACAAATCAATAGACAGCAATTAGATCAACATTCAAAGCTGCAGAGTAATAGTTTCATAACAAAAAAAAAATAGTAAAAAACAAGATAGAGGCAACTTCATAGGGTGGAGGCAGCTCATTACATGCTTTGGGCCCTCTCACAAATAGAAGCTGTATTTTTAACAAACAAACAAAAAAACACACCAGTAATTGGTATAAGAGCAAAAATGTAAATTTGTTGGAAAAATGAAATGATGCTATTCAAAGGGGAAATGCAGGATATGCCTGGCATGAGGTCTACCAGAAAGTGGCATGCTTGCACTGGCTTCTTCCCTATAGTGGGCAGATTGACTTACCATTACTCACCATGTCATGAGCTTCCTTCGACCTTTCGTACATCAGTGGCAGAAATGTGCCATTCTTTCCCTCTTTTTCTTTCTTTTTTCTTTTTCTTTTTTTTGGGCGGGTTTTCTTTTTCTTTTTTTGGGCGGGGGGGGACTACAAATCTCAGAAATTACCTCTGAGATTCGCATCTGAGAGACAGTCACCTACAGACACCTTACATGTGGCTTGCTTGAGAGAAAGACCCTAAGCTGGAACACTTCATGACCAAGCATAGGCCTAGCTCTTCCTGTTCAAAATGGAAGATGTGCTGGTGCTTTCTGGAAAGCTTCTTTTTGAAACAGGAAGACCGAGTCTGTCTGCCCAATGGAACTCCCTAACAGGCAGCATCTATCTGTGAAGTAGAACTCTCAGAATGGAGAATCCTGGGATGTGTAGTCCAAAAACCCCACATGGCACATCCTTAATCAATGACTTACTGGTTTATAGTGGGGAAAAGTACACTATAATGACATAACTATAATAGGAAGAAGTGATCCTACATCTTATGAAGAAGGTAGGCAAAGCTTGACAGGCGGTGCCATTTTGATGGAAACCCCATCACAGACATAATATGCAATTCTGTTTTCAGTGTTGGTTAGTATCAACCATCTTGCCAATGGCAACATTTTTTTCTTGAAAGACAGAGAAAGACAACTGAACTGAACTATAGAAACAAATTTACTCTTCCTCATAGGAAGGAATTTTATAGTTTATCAGCTTTTTTAGCCATTTTCTCTAGAATCTTCTTGTTGTTGCATGCCCTTAAGTCATCTGTGGCTTATGATAACTCTATGAATGAGCGAACTCCAAAATGTCCTGTCTTCAACAACCCTGCTCAGCTCTTGCAAACTCAGTCTGGGGATTCCTTTAGGGAATCAATCCATCTCATATTTGGTCTTTCTCTTTTCCTGCTGCCTCCAGTCTTTCCCAGCATTACTGTCTTTTCCAGAGAACCTTATGATGTGCCTAAAGGAGGACAGCCTCAGTTTCATCATTTTTGTTTCCAGAAATAGTTCAGGCTTGATTTGCTGTAGGATCCACTTGTTTATTTTTCTGGCAGTCCAGGGTATCTAGAAAGCTGTCCTCCAGCACCATATAGCAAAATGGATATAGGGCTATGCACTGCAGTCTTTTGTTTCTGTCCATGGAGTTTTCTTGACATAGATACTGGAGTGGCTTGCCAGTTCCTGCTCCAGGTGGATCACATTTAGTCAGACCTCTTCACTATGATCTGTCCGTCTTGGGTGTCCCTGCACGGCATAGCCCATAGCTTCTCTGAATTACTCAAGCCCCTTCACCATGACAAGGCAGCAATCCATGAAGGAGGAAAAGACCCTGATGTTGGGAAAGTGTGAAGGCAAGATGAGAAGGGGACGACAGAGGACGAGATGGTTGGACAGTGTCATCGAAGCGACCAACATGAATTTGACCCAACTCTGGGAGGCAGTGGAAGACAGGAGGGCCTGGCGTGCTCTGGTCCATGGGGTCACAAAGAGTCGGACACAACTTTATGACTAAACAACAAACAACAACAACAACTGCAGTCTAGTACCTACTGTAATAGAGTTAGGCTGCCATCTGTAATGGGGTAAAAGAGTAGAGTGACAGAGATTGCCTGAAATACCTGAAAGCTTAGGGGCCTATCCATAGGTTAATACAACCCTGACTTTAAGGGTTTTTTTTATATGTTGTTCCCTCTATATGCGCCTCCAGGGGGGAATGGGAGGAAGCTTTCCATTGCCCAAGCTTAAGCCATCCACTTTGTTTTGATATCGGTGATAACGCTCACTGGAAAGAAACCAAAACTCAGCAATTCTACCCACTTTAAAATAAAATAGTAACTCCTGACAGGAAGTCAAAAAGGTGCAGGTAGGCAGAGATGGGTTGGTTCATTATAGCCCCATCATGTGGTTGCCAGGAAAAGGAGCAAAACAGCCTGTCCCCAAAGCAGACCCAACCTTGAGACAAATCTCCATCCGATGACACCCTGCTTTTCTGTTTGGAATAACATTATGATTTTTTAACTTAAGCTACATTACTGATGAGTCACAATTTTAATTTCATCTCATTTTTCTATGATTTATCTTTTCTCACACAGTGTTTTTTTTAAAATATCTTTATATTGAAAATATCTCTATGGATCTGACCATCTATGTTTATAAAAATCAGCACATGTTCTTTTTTTAGCATTCATTTCCTGTAGATGTTCACACATAAGATGACAGGCAGGAAGACAAGATCTTGTGGGGAAAAAAATTCCTATAATTTAACAAAGATAATCAGCTATCTGTTCTCTCTTAGCTGAGTATGAGTCATTTAGCTATTTCAGGAAGGAAATACGGAATTTTCCATTTCTCAACTCAATGTCCTTTTAAAAAATGATGATTCTTTTATGAAGTAAATATCCAATTATTCATTACTTTGAAGACAATTGTAAGAGACCCTATGTGTACATATAATTGCTAAAACAACAACAACAAAGAAACAAATGCTTAAGACATTGTAAAATGGTTATGAATGAGTGCTTATATAATGCTAACAAGATGGGTGAACTCCAAGAGCCATCTGTAGCCTCTAGCAGAGCCTAGAAAAGTTTTTTCCTGGAATTACAACTTCTAGAATCCTTCAACTACCATGCTAGCTTGGGGATTCTGGGAGATATCATTTTTTTAAAAAGTGATTCACAGTAGGTAAGACTTGCTGGGCCCCATGTAGTAGAAGTAGAGAAATAAGATAACACAAATTATTCACATATCATCCTTCTCTGATCCGATGTAAGATTATGAATCAATGGAAAACACTTGAAACAATTTTCTAGGTGAACAGAAGCAGAAGAAGAATTTTGCAGCAAATAGATGAACAACATTAAGACCGAAGGACTGAAGAGATGGCCGTGCATCAGCCTGAAGCAAGAATGGGGAATACATAGTCTTATTTGTTTATTTTTTTTCAACTTCTATACCGCCTATCTGGCTACCAAGGCCACTCTGCGTGGTTCACAACATAATAAAACAACAAATGACACTTTAATAAATCCATAAAACATAATAACAATACAAAAAATAATATTAAACATATTGATCCACTTAAATTAAGAAAAGGACAGCATTAAAAGTTTAATAAAAACAAGGTGATGGAACAGATTATTTAAGCACTGAAACAATCACTGCGCTCTGTTGATGTAATAGCTGAGAATGCCTATCTAAACAGCTAGGTTTTCAGGGATCTCTTAAAAATTCCCAGTGAAAGGGCCTGGTGAATTTCAGGTGGAAGTTCATTCCAGAGGTGAGGAGCAACTGGCAAGAAGGCTCAGTTTCTGGCCTTCTCTTCCTGGGCCTCTCTCGGGGTCAATGCACCACCCACCCTAGAATGATTGAGTAGATTGGGCAGATTTCACTGGAAGAAGGTGTTGTGCCAGGTATTGAGGTCCCAAACTGTTTCCGGTCTTGTATGTCAATGTCATTACCTTGAAGCTGGCACAGACAGATAACCAGTGCAAGGCAGCCAGAATAGGGGAGTTATTATGGCATTTATTTACTCCACTCAGTAATCTGGCCACCATATTCTGGACCTGCTGGAGCTTCCGTAGCAGCCTCACGGGCAGCCCCACATAAAGAGCTAGATGGTGTGGGACCATAAGTCCTAGCTGTCCTAGCCACCATGGCAAGTAATGTGAGGGATTATGGAAGTTGTAGTTCAACATCTTCTGGAGGGTCACATATCATGGCCAAAGGGTTGACACAGGAGAGAGAATACCAAGCAAGTCCCAGTCTAACAAGTACTAACTGAATTGCACATTACTTTTACTATTCCTTCTAAAGCTCTGAATTTCTTGCTGTATTCCTGACCTAATAAAAATCCCCTTTGATGCCTTTCTAATGCCCCAAAGTTGTCACCAGAAGTAACTGCCTTACATTACTTCATCGTAAGTAATGTCTTGTGGGCTGATTGCTTACAGCAGTGGTTCTTAACCTTTGTTACTCGGATGCTTTTGAATTGCAACTCCCAGAAACCCTAGTCAGGACAGCTGGTGGTGAAGGCTTCTGGGAGTTGCAGTCCAAAACTCCTGAGTAACCCAAGGTTAAGAACCAGTGGCTTACAGCAATGGTTCCCAACCTTAGGTAACCCAGTTGCTCTTTGACTACAATTCCCAAAAGCCTTCACCACCAACTGTGCTGGCCAGGATTTTTGGGAGTTGCAGTCCATGATCACTTGAGTTACCCATGGTTGGAATCACTGGTTTAGAGCATGGATTGAGCAGGTATTTTAGCAATTATTATTTGTAGATTTAGGGTCTTCCTCCTCACTAGTTTTGGAAGTTTGGCTGCTTGTATTGAAGAGTATTAAGCAACATTTCTATGTATATATATGAAGGACATGTATTTGCAGTCCTTGTGCCTGAAAAAATGCATTTTGATCCATGAAAGTTCACATTGATATAAATCTGTTAAAGTGTCATAGTATTGTGCTTTTCCCCTTGTGCCTTTTTTCTTTTCCTTTCCCCATTTAGTGTTGCCAACATGCTGTGACAGACAAGTATGGCTACTGCTTAGGAAATGTCATAATACTTATTCATTTTTGAAGCTGAGAACCAAGGCCATTTGGATTTTTTGGAGGCTTTTTAAACAGTTAGATAATAGGATCCACTTCTATTGAGGGAGATCTATTATGCCTTTTGTTATTGTATTATTTTATATGGCTGTATGCTCTGTTTAATTATGTACTCAGCCCCGAGTAGTGTTTCACTAAGTCAGGTGGTCTATAAGCTCTATAAACAAAGAAATAAATAAAGATTGCTTTGCAAGAGATTTATAATTAAAAACAAATTTCTGGATCCATTTAGTATGAACCACTCAAAAGTATAAGTGGAGTTTTGACATGTGCCAGCAAGCAAAAGGAAGATTGTGATCTGTCTCTACCTTTTACTTACACCTGTTAGTGTTGAATAACCTTTTACTTACACTTGTTAGTGTTGAATATTAGACTGTGTATTGCTCATCACTGTTGGATTGGATGATCTGTATGTACACGAACAGAAGCCATCCTGCTCTTTCTCATACAATGTTGTTTGCTTTTCCAGCAACAGTTGGCCAAGAATATAAAATTTGGCCAACCCCCACAAATGACAGTTTCAGTGAAGACAATTGGGGAGGCAAATGCTAGTTTGGAAGCTGATGTACTGTTGAATAACCCGATGGAGACTGAGACACAGCAGGACACAGTTCTGCCAGAGAGCCATAATCAAGTAAGCATTTAAATCATACATGTTCATTCTGTAGCTGGAACAGTTGAGCTTAGTCAAGCATAACTGCTGTGTCCACTGAAACATAGTCAAGTGCACCGAGGCACGTTATGGGTTGAGAGATTTAGTAGTGCTTGATGTCTTGCAGTCAAACACAATCAATATGAGTTTGGAAACAGGGCTGGCTCAAGGTGCTTTCTTGCCCAAGTTGAACCAATAAATAACAACTCTCTTAAATCAGAAGGCCAGCCTCAGGCAGAAAATCCCACAAGCCCTTCACCCTTTTATCCTGGCAGTAGATATGCAGTAATAATATTTATAATGTTAATAGCTAATACTGAATTTTCTACCTTTTAATGATACCAAGACTTTGCTTTCTAAGGCAGCTGACTTGTTATTCCTAATCATAAGGTCTGCCCTGCTGGGGAACAAAGGGGAATGCCATAAGTGTTTGCCTACAGTGGATGAATGAGAGGTCATATTGATTGTGGGCTGGCGTTTGGAAGGGGCAGTTTCATGACCTGCAAAATTAGCAGATAGAATGCAAAACGACTTATGTGCATTCTGTGAGTAGCAGTCTCTTCAAATCTTCTCATTGTTTCATGTCTATGCCAGGGATGAAATTCATGTACAGAAGCCTTAGTTGCAACCATTCAGGAATCAGTTTCTTAATAAACAGGAACAGATAAAGCAGCAAATACATTTTGCCTCCAGTTTTAAATGTGTGAATCCACATCTGCTGTATATTTCACAAATGTGTACTAGGGGTATCCATTGTCTCCCACTGCTGTTCTGAATGTAGAGTATAGTTTGGGAAAGTTACATTTTTGGACTACAGCCCTCAGAACTCACCAGCGAGCATGCGTTGGAAGGGGGAAGTAGATTCTGAAAGTGTAGTTAAAAAAAGAGACATTTCCAAGCTTTGACCAACTGATTCAAAGAAATTGGGTAAAACTCAATGTTTGAGTCCATACAAGCTACATTCCTTTCTACTTTATATTCCAGCATCAGGAGGGACAATGTGCATTCTTCTATCACCCTTTACAGACTCATTTATTGGGGAATTTGAGAGCAGTCCAGGCACAAAGCACCTTTCTGTTGCCATGTTTCTGTGTGCTTCTGCCTCCAGCCAAGTAGAAGCCATGTGCTGTGACAGACAACAATGGAGAATAAACTCAGTGGCTGGCATCTCTTTGTCTACAGTATATGCATGGGGGAAACCCATTGACTGGACATTCTGTCAAGTGCAAGCTGGTAGTTAGGTTTGTAGCCTCCCTCTCTGAATGTTAGTATGAGTATAGATCCAGAAGCCTCAACATCTAGCCAAAGTGATTGGGGATCTCTTTTCTTTTCTTTTATCTTGCTTGTTTTATTTATTCTTTGTCTTCTCCTCTCTCTCGCTCTCTGTTTCATAACATTTTGCACAAGGAGCATTCCATTCCTTTCCCCTTTTCTCTGATAGTTTATGTAAGAACCTATCAGAGTCAACTGGGGGAATTATCAGTTATCTTTTCCTTCTATCCTCAGTACCAGTGCTAAATACCAAAGTGATGGAGGAGGAACTATATGTTTGCAAATAGCCTGCAGTGAGCTTTTTTACAGCAGGTGATCTGCAACCTAGGGGGACGCGGGTGGCGCTGCAGGTTAAACCACTGAGCCTTGTCAGTCGGAACGTCAGCAGTTTGAGTTTGAGCTCCCATTACTTGTCCGCAAATAACCTGCAGTGAGCTTTTTTACAGCAGGTGATCTGCAACCTAGGGGGACGCGGGTGGCGCTGCAGGTTAAACCACTGAGCCTTGTCAGTCGGAACGTCAGCAGTTTGAGTTTGAGCTCCCATTACTTGTCCCAGCTACTGCCAATGTAGCAGTTCGAAAGCATGTAAATGCAAGTATATGAATGGGTACCATTTTCTTGGAAAGGTAACAGCATTCTGTGTCTAGTCGTGCTGGCCATGTGACCACAGAAAGTGTCTACAGACAAATGCCGGCTCTTTAGCTTACAAACAGGGATGAGCACCAGCCCCTGGAGTTGGACACGACTGGACTTAATTGTCAAGGGGAACATTTATCTTTATTGATCTGTAAACTGGAATTAAATATGCCTGCTTCAATGTGAGTGTATCAAATGGCTGGATAGTGGTGATCTGTAAACTGGAATGAAAACACTTGAAATATGCTTGCTTCAAGGTGAGTGTATCAAATGGCTGGATAGTGGTGGTGACAGTGGCCGAGGAAAGTGTAGGCAATAGCAGTGGCTCTTTAGCCACCTGCCAAACAAGTTCTTTTGCCCATCTGACTGCTAGATGGCATGGCAGTGGCTGGGGAGCACAATAGCTGCTGCCACCAGTGTGTTCCTGGATGCAGCGAACCAGAGAGGAAGCCCTACTGCAGTTTAAAATGGTCGCCAAACAATTTCTTTTGCCCAGCTGACTGCTAGATGGATTGGCAGTGGCTGGGGAGCACAGTAGCTGCTGCCACTAATGTGTTCCTGGATGCAGCGAACCAGAGAAGAAGCCCTACTGCATGGTCTACATTGGGTGCCATTTTAAACTACCACAAGGCTTGCATCATGTGAAGCAACAGAAATCCCTTTGCATTCCACCTGTTTTTTTCCCCAGGTGTGCATTTGCAACCAGATACTAGTTCTGAGGCTGAGGAGGAATCGGAGCTGAGTCAGCCCTTATTCCTGAAGCGACAACAATGGCTTCTCTTTTCTTAGAGCATGTTTATGGGATGAATTCAAAAATAACTAATCTACAGAGGTGTGGTGTTGGTTTTTTAAAGTTCTGCTGACTAGCAATTCATGTAACAGGCACAAAATAGCACATTTCCTTGCAAGGAGTTAACTGCAAGAGTTCAAAAAGAAATTAATTTTGAATTCAAAAATAACCAATCTACAGAGGTGTGGTGTTGGTCTTTTAAAGTTCTGCTGACTGGCAATTCATGTAACAGACACAAAAATAGCACATTTCCTTGCAAGGAGCTAACTGCAAGAGTTCAAAAAGAAATTAATTTTTAAAAAAGATTTTAAAAATGAACAAAGCATTATATTTCCTGATTTGAGTGTCTAGGAAGTTCAAATGGAAGCCTGAAACATGGAGATGAATGCATAAAACTAGCAATGCTGGCAACCTTGAACCTGAGAGATAAATTGCTTCCTTTTGCAGGCCTTTGGGATGCAAATAAATTATAAACTGCACATGGCAGCTGGGAGATATAGATGTATATTCCTCTGGGTTTTTCCGTTCTGTCTCTTCAGATGGATTTCAGTCATCTTTAGGCTGATGGGACAAGCTTTGAGATTTTTCTAAATGCATCATTCAAGTTGTGTTGCTATCACAATGAACTGCAGAAAAATGCACAAATCTTTAAACTGATTTAAAATCCACTTCTGAGCCAGCATGCTGAATATCTGAAAAGATCTGAATTTTATGCAGCAAATACAGTTGTTGTGTATACACTGGTGCTTCCCTCAGCAAACCTGCAGAGGTGAACAATGTGTGCACATATTTAAATATCGGCACATACATATCTGGGAGCTCTAGCCCAATCAGATACATGTACAGTATACAGGTTTTTTTAATAGCCATCAATGCATTTACATTTTCTGGGCCTGCTGCTAGAAGCATTGGTATAGTATATACAGTACAAACACACAACCATGTATGCCATATTAAAGTGTCGTCCCTAAAAAAAAAACAGTGCAAACTCACATCTAAGTCACTCCTGGAATATTTTTCCCACAATTCCTTTATTTGTCACATCCATTGTAAAACCTCAAAGAGACTATCCTGCTCTTGACTGAAGTGGATTCAAGCTACTCTGATTATTGGTTTCTGGGACTGGCTCTATCACAAACAGAGCATTCACTTAGGCTCCCAAAAGAGCGGGCAGTTGCAGGGGCGGAGAAATGTAAACACTGGGTAAAACTTTCTTAATCAAGGGGCCGGAGCAACTGTGAGTCAGACCCAATTTTCCATCTTGCATGAAGTGAGGTATTACAGATTCTGCTAATTTTGATTAGTAACAAAAGAGCCTGTGGCACCCTGAAGACTATCCGACTTTATTTGTCATAGCCTTTTATGGACTGCAGCCCATGAAAAATTGTGCCAATTGCAATTTTTAGTATTTAAGTTATTACAAAATTTGTTGTGGTTTTTGCTGCAAGAAACTAACATACCTAATCCCTCTGAGTATTTCCCTTGTGAAGATTGGGGACTCTGCTAAGAAGAAAATAGAACAAATTGCTCAATAGAGAGTGAAGTTATGTGGATTTGATCCTCTGTTGTTCTGATTGTGTCAGAAGTGTTTTCAGAACTGGCCATACTTCATTCTGAATTCATTTTGCAAATGGTATGCAAAGTGCTAAAAGCACACAATTGATATTAGAACCCAGGTGCACAATGTGACTTCCTGGCTCTCATGGGCATCCTGAGCATCCCCACCTCCACCTAAAAAAATTGAATACAGTGGTGCCTCGCTAGACTATGTTAATCCATTCCATTGAAATCGCTGTCTTGTGAAAACATCATCTAGTGAAAAGCGTTTCCCCATTGGAATGCATTGAAACCTGTTTAATGCGTTCCAATGGGGGGAGTCGTCGTTCAGCGAAAATCGCCCATGGGGAAGCCATTTGGAAAGAGTCGTCGTCCAGCGAAAATCGCCCATGGGGAAGCCATTTTGTGAAGCACCGATCAGCTGTTTAAATTGCTGTCTTGTGAAGCATCGGTCCTGAAAACACCCATTTTGTGAAGATCGCCCATAGGGAAGCCATTTTGCAAAGCCGCCCATCAGCTGTAAAAATGTCATCTTGTGAAAAAACGGTCTGCGAAGCATGGACCAAATCATCGCCCAGCAAAATCCCCCATAGGAAAAACCATTTTGCGAATCGCTATAGCGATCACAAAAAAGTCAACTTCTAGCGAAAAAACAGTTTTGCAGGGTAATCGTCTTGCGAGGTACCACTGTACTCGTTTTTTAAAAATGGCCCAAGAGTTCCCCCTGTGCCTTTCTGGGTTTATAGGGACAATTTCCCCATGTTTTGAGAGCCCCAGACTCATACTCCTGCCTTTTAAAGAAATTGGCTGCTAGAAGGTGCAAGGAGGTACCTTCCGGTTTTTGATTCCAAGATAGTTAATTATTGCAGTAAATGCAGAAATATTTTAAAAAGTGGTTTAAGATGATTTTGGCTTTTCGGCAGCCACCAGTCTGTCTCTGTGCAAATGTAGCATTATATGGAGGAAAAATTCAGACGGTGGCAGCATTTGATGAGGTTAGATGCAGTGCTATTTTTTGCTTTCTCTAATATGTTGCTGTTTTAGGGTGTGACTACACAGCAGGAAAAGAATGGATCTGCTGTGAGGTCCCACCCAGGAAATCGGATTTCCGTGGGTGAATTTGCTTTGGCTGACCACATAAGAGTCAGCAGAATGACAAGAGGAATGTGGCACTCAGCCTTTCTTCTTTGGTTCTCACTAATCCTGCATTATCAATTTCTCTCCACGCTGCTTCTTGACTTCCCCTGATACAGTCTTCTAGGTCTCTCTTTTCTTGCTTAAGTGACTGATTTGTAGCGTTCCATGTCCACTTTCACTCTGTGGGAGATACAGGCAGTCAATGTCACTACATGGATGCAGTGTGTGATGGATGTCCAGTCTATTATGTCTGTAATATATTGAATAACTGAGACCACCCAGATGTTTACAGCTTTGATGGTGTTGCCACCTTTAAGTTTTGATTTTAGTTTTCTAAATCTTCTGATGCATTCCTTACTATTGTTATTGTTGTGGTTTCCATTGTTGTGCAAAGAATAATGAGGGAAAGTGCTTGGTGTCTTGAGCTTGCTCAAGAGGCGGGATCTCTTTTGGCTCCTTGCAGATCCTTGACAGGCAAGACAGCCTGCCTGAACCACAAATGAGACATTGGAGAAATTGCTTCATACTTTTACCGGGGGGAGAACCAGTAAGGCATAGCCAACCATTACTTCAATGGTCATTACTCTGAGTACCTCATATTACTAATGCCTTTTACCATTTTCATTGCTTTATGTGCTGATATCTAGAATCAGTCATCTAAATGTCTTCAACAGTGCACAAATCGATCACATGGTTGGAGCACGGCTATAACATTAATGTCCCTCAATTGTGTGATTTAATTTTCATACTGAATTCTGCCTCCAGCAGCTGCACCCCCAGAGGCTTTCCACCATTCCCCATATGGTGAGAGGAGCCCCCCAACTCATTTCTCCCTAACATTCTTCCTAGAATGAAGTTCATAAAACACACAGCTTGATAGATGATCTTCCCTGAACATTTGCCATGTTCTTAAAGAAAAACAGTACAGTTTGGCCTTGTTTAGAGCGCACTGAACCAAGGAATTAAGAAGCCTCACTTCTGTTTGTAGTTGGGTTTTTGAATTATTTATAAAAGGTGGATAGATGAAGAGAAACTGTGCATTTCTGGTCTTAGGGCTGCTATATTCCAGATCTTGAAATCCAGACAGTCTCATTCACATGCAAATTAGATGGTCCAGTTTGCATACTACACACATTTGCCTAGCATGCTAATTAATATGGATTTTTCACCTTACACAAATTGAACACATTAATGTTGTTGTTGTTATATCTTTTGCCATGGAATAATTTATATAGTACAGTGGTACCTCGCTAGACAGTTACCCCGCATGACAGTTTTTTCGCTAGACATTGACTTTTTGCGATCGCTATAGCGATTCACAAAACAGTGATTCCTATGGGGGAATTTCGCTGGATAATGTTTGGTCCCTGCTTCGCAAACCAATTTTCACTAGATAACGATTTTGACAGCTCCCTCCGTGCTTGCAAAATGGGTGTTTTTGGGACCTAAGCTTCGCAAAACAGCTATTTAAACAGCTGACTGGCAGTTCGCAAAGCGGCTTTCCTATGGCCGCTCTTCACTAGACAACGACAATTCTTCCCCATTGGAATGCATTAAACAGGTTTCAATGCATTCCAATAGGGAAATGCTTTTCGCTAGACAATGATTTCGCTAAATAGCGATTTCAGTGGAACGGATTATCATCGTCTAGCGAGGCACCACTGTAACTGCTAATCTGAGGGACCCTGTATAGTGGAATAGTTAAAGAGTGCTGGAACAGAGAGAAGCATGTTTGAATCCCTGGTCAGTTGCAAGTCTTACTTTGTATGTTTGAGTCAGTCAGTACTTCTCAGCCAAACCTATCTTACAGGTCGTTTTTCAAATAAAAGGAGAGGGGAACCATATAAAGCATCCATGCACATTGTTGGTTCATATAAATAAATTCAGTTCTTCCAAATACCTCCAGTTCATGAACGTGGGATACTGTTCTTCTGTATCCATGATTCAAAATGCCAGGAAATGGCCTGATATTGCTGCGCAACATCACACCCACACCCACGTTGCCAGCAGGAAAAAGGATGCCAAGCTTTACATGGCAAAGGGCAGCCTGAATGTTGACAACACCGATGGCAGCAGTCGAGATGGTCCACAGGATACCCTTTTTTGCCTACTACCATTCATTGAAACACAACCCCAACAATTGTGTTAGAGTGAGAAGTGGCTAACTGATGAAAAAAGGGATTTAGCTTCTGGGATTTTCCCTTGCATGGTGTCACTTTGTGAAAATCCATGAAAACTCTAATTAAAATATAACAGTGTTTAAGGTGCCACAATGTTTTGTCCTTTTAATCTGTACTTTTAAAAAAATTTTAATTTGTTTTTGTCTGTAGTCCATTAGGTATCACCAATGAGTAAGGAACTCTCACATGATTTGTAGGGAAAATGCAGGGGGGGAAGTAGAGCACACTGCAAAAATGGGGGGGGGGCAAACTGTTGTTTCCTTCAGAGATGCAGTTTGAGTATTTTATTGTAACTAGAAAACATCCTAGCTTACCTTTTTCTGCAGGAAAAAGTGTAATATCACATCTACTTGAAATTTGTTCCATGAACTACAGCTTCCATAATTTCCCAGATAACGTTCATTGGTAGGGGTTACCTGCTTTCTGGTCATTATTTATTATGTGCCAGCAGGTCATGTATCTGAGACTACGCATGCAGTCAGACTGTAATTTAGCTCACATTTTGAACTGGTTTGGGCATGGACTGATTTGCCCTATTTTCTGGTGACTACGTGATGCAGAAGAAGTTGCAGACGGTGCTCATGCCCAATCTGGAGCTTTTTCATTTAGTGGCAGGGCTACACCTTTTCTGGAGCTGGGCTGGAGGGAAGGGGGCCTGACCATGTGCATATGGAAGGGTTGCCTTAAATGAGATTGCAGCAGAGAACTGACCTTTTCAGTGTAATCCAACGTGGTCCTCTCTAATTGCACCTTTTTGTTTTTAAATGAAAGCTTGGCTTCTGGGCCAAATGAAGGGACAAAAGGGCACTTTGAAGGTGGTACCTTAAAGTCTGGGGGAAACCCAGCTATATGACAACCTTAACTGGTACTGTCATCTGATTTTGTTAAAAAAAATTAACGGTTAAGAGTTTTTATACATCTTGAATATGTGAGGCTGCAGTCACACTTGGCAATAAGAACCACATTTAAGTGTCATTTAAATTGATGTAAATTTTATTGTTCAGATGAGACAGGGATGAAATTGATTTATACGGGCTGCAAAGGTTTTTTTTCCCCCAGCTGGCCAGCATTGGCTTTTTAAAATACCTCGCTTCTAAAATTGATTCAGTCAGTGCAGCTTTGTGGATGTGAACACTGTTGTTTTAATTTGTGCTTATGTGGATTTTGGATGGCAAGGGCACTGCCGTTTTTCCTTTTAATTTTTTAAAAATTCTTTCTTAAAACATTTATTGCTGCATCAGTTCATCAGCACATTCAACATTACAGTCCTCAACCCTGTTCTCTCCATTTGGCCGATGAAGGAGCTGAAGGGCACAGAGTTGGCATAGAGAAGGTACAGAGTGGGCACAGAGTGGGCATGCCTGGAGGTGGAGGACAGGCATTGCCCCACAAAGGAGCTGGAAGCTTCACCCCATTCTCATTTTTTTCATCATTAATCAGCTAGGGTCACTTCTCCAGTGTTTTCCCCTGTGGTTTCTAGTGACTATTATGACATCAGGTGGCACCTCCTAGACACTGGAATTATCAGTGTATCACTTTAAAATAAAATTAATAAAATCAAAACCTTTAAGAACAGCATGCTCGTCACTTACTTTAAAATAAAATTAATAAAAATCAAAACCTTTAAGAACAGTATGCTCCTAAAACGGAAAGGAAATTAGTCAATTTCAACAGTGTAGACACCAACACTGGTTTAAATTACCAAAAATAAATCTGTTTCTATTAAGTGCATGAGAATGCAGCTACTGATTTAAATACTACATGACTTGAACCTGATTTTTAGAAAGTCTGGACAGAAATCAGTTTGAATTACCAGAGTGACCAAAAACAGCCTGATTTTGCCAGTTATGTAGTCATCATAACAGTGGTAATCAAGTAATATATAACAAACATAATCTTCTTTTTCAGTTAGGTGGTCTGATGGATTCAGTAAGCCCTTCAAGTCTGCACAAAACAAGGCATGAAGGAGAAGAAAAGGTAATGATCATTAAAATTTAACTTTCTACAACCTAAATATCTTCACCCATTACATTTTCTGGTCTATAAGTAAAAATGCCTAAGCTAATACTGTAGAAAACATTAAATGTTGATAAATGTGTGGCTTAACCTACATATAATCACATTGATTTCATTTCTCTAAGCCTCAATCTATGCCAAGGTGTGTAGAAAACAGGATTTGTGTGCCCTGAGCAAAAGAGGGACCTCCACTTAAAAGATGGTGGTCAATCTTTTCCTGCCAATGTTTTACTTTCCTTCAGTCTGTTCTTTGGCATCAATTCCATCTTTGCTGGCCTTCACAATCAGAAGCTGGTCTAGCTGAGACAGAAATACATGAAGAGAAAAGTTATGGAAAAATAAATGGTGAGGGGGGTTTTTTCCACATTTATGCCCCATTAATGTGGATCAGTCACATGAGCTTTTCAAGGCCCTTTGGTCACACTAACATTTATTACATTTATATGCCCTTTATTCTATTTTGTATGCAAATGTAGCTGATCTTCTCAATTTTGTGTTCTCAGAGCAAGCTTGTCTTGGAGATGGGTCAGGCTGAAAGAGAAAGGAAGGATATAAGACAGCTGGCAATACTCTTGAAGTGCTTCTAGGCATCCAGATTTTTGAAATGAAATAAGAAGGCTAGGTGGTGGTGATGGTGGGATAATAGAGATCAGAAACGTATTTCAGAGGTACAGGGTGGAAACTTGTGGATACCACATGGCTTACCTTTGCTTGGCAGTGAGCAAGTCTGGGCTTGGAGGAGGTTTCTTGCTTGCACCTAAAATATTTGGATATTTTAGATGTAGGTTTCTTGAAAGTATAAGACACCCAAACAGTCCTGTAACTTGTTGTATCTTGTCCCACCTCATAGAGTGTCTTGTCGCCCTGGTGTGAGATAAAGGGCTCCCCACTCAGACCATTGCTACCCCAGCCTAAGCAGGAGGAACATGAGTGAATGAGAGAGTTCCCCAATCTCAGTGGTTCCCAGTCTTGGGTCCCAAAGTGTTCTTAGACTACAACTCCCAAAAATCATGGCCAGCATAGCTAGTAGTGAAGGTTTCTGGGAGTTTTTGTCCAAGAACATCTGGAGACCCAAGGTTAGAAACTACTGCCCTATTTGAATGGAGAATAAGGAGGCATAGTCATCACAGAAGGGAACATTTGAATGTTTCTAAAGACACTTTTGGATTCAGAATTTCTTTTGTTTCAAATCCATTAATTCAACAGTGTCAGTCAAGTTCACCTCTCTGTGTGATAATGTGCAGGTTACTCCAATCAAGTCATCCTCTCGGCCAAAAAGACACCACTCCCCTTCTGGCACAATAGAAACAGTCGATCTTGATGCCATCCCTCTGGCAATTGCTCGCCTGGATAATAGTGCAGCAAAGCACAAACTCTCTGTCAAGCCGAAGAATCAGAGGGTTTCTAAAAAGCACAGAAGGTTGTCAAAGGTACTGAATTAATTTCTACAGTGTCGAGATGAAGTATAAGTTTTTGATTTTTCAATCTTGTGGGACACACGGATCTGAGCAGGTTAGGTAACATTTGAGTGTTACCTAACAGCAGTTTATTGAGTATTCATGTGTGCCAATCAACATCATATAATTTAGGACATTTACTGCCATGAAATGTTATGATGAGCCTGAGGAATCAATTTGATCTAAAGAGGAGGATTCTTTTTGCCTCACCAATTAGAAACAATTTTTGTTTAGCAGAGAACAATTGACAAATAGTATCTATGTGCCTACATTACCTGTCAAAAAGATGGGTGGGGGAGAAAAAGACACATCTTCTATTCAGTTTTAGCCAGCTTTTCCCCACCAAAGGATGGTGTATTGCAGCAAGAACAACAGAGATTCTTGTGGTACCATAAAGACTAACATATTTATTATGGTATAAGCTTTCAAAAGACTACCTTTCATCTTATTGGGTACATGAAGTGCTATCCTGAGTAACAGGTAAATAAATATACACATGGTTGTGTGGTGGGAGAGGGCAAGAATTGTATGGTTAGAGAGATGAGGAGGTAATGAAATGCAGTAAGTACTGACAGTGTAATTGTTTTGTTCACCAGACCCAGATGGGCAAGAATTTTATGGTTAGGGAGATGAGGAGGTACTAACAGTGTAATTGTTTTGTTCACCAGACCCATTGGATTGAATCCAGTTGGTAGTTCTGACTATATACATGGGATTTGTGTAAACATTGACTTATAAATCAACAGTCAAGCAGCGAGTCTTAGTTGGGAGTAGCAACTGGATTCTGTCAGAACATGTGTATTATCAGGAAAAATTATGTCATCAGTAGTCAATATTAATAACAACTATCAATGCATTTATTCCTTCATTCTTCATTTTTACAATTTTCTCTTTTACTCATGCAAACAAAGACCTTTCTCTTCAGGCAGGCTTTCCTTTAAATGACTGGTTAACCAAAGGGATTGTATTCTGTCGTTTTATTTGTGCTTTTAATATTGCTGTTATTTATAAGTTTTTGCTTTACTTGTGCTTTTAATATTGCTGTTACTTATAAGTTTTAAAACGATAGCTGTTTAATTCTTTTTAAATACTGTATTGTAATGATTTATTACTTTAGCTTTTACGATAGCTGTTTAATACTTTTTAAATATTGTAATGATTTATTACTTTAGCTTTTAACTTTCTTTCTTTTAATACTCTAAGCCACCTTGGATCTTTTAGGAGAAAGCTGGCATGTAAAAAATTTAAACAAACTAACAGATAAACCTACCTGGTGCTAAAGTAACCCTTTCTGCATCTGGTGGAGTGGACTGCAGCCGATGAAACCTATGTCCTAATAAATGTGTTGATTGTTAAGATGCCACAGGATTCTTTGTTGCCATTTTCTGCAAATGACATCAGTTCCTAATCCACACAAAAAGTAAGGGGAAAAACGAGGGTTTATAGGTACTGTGCCTCTAATTACCAATTACTTGCGGGTGGGGAACCTATGGGGATGACCACCTTACTCCTCTTGCTAATTTCTACAGAGCATGGGGATGGTTAATGTTGGATCTCATATGCTGGTCTAGATGGATCTTTTGCCAATGTAGGAAGGCAATTCTTTTATTCCCCCTGCTCTATTTTAGGGATGAGCCTTGTGGCGCAGTGGTTAAACTGCTGTACTGCAGCCAAAACTGTGCTCACGACCTGGGGTTCAATCCCAGGTAGCTGGCTCAAGGTTGACTCAGCCTTCTATCCTTCTGAGGTTGGTAAAATGAGTACCCAGCTTGCGTGTGTGTGTGTGCAATGTGTAGCCTGCATAATTAACTTGTAAACCACACAGAGAGTGCTTGAAGCACTATGGGGCAGTATATAAGCAGCATGCTTTGCCTTGCTTTGCTTTGCTCTTACTCCCAGTCTTGAGGTATAAGATCTAGCAGTTGACAGTAACCTGAAGTTTTCTTAGATGAGTGGAAACACTGGGTTTCTGAATGGATACATATTCTAAATTGCAAAATATTTGTTATTTTTCACTCACATATATCCAAGGATAATCATTCCAATCTTGTACATGTCTATTCAGAAGAAAGTCTTGTTGAGTTCAGTGGGTCTTACTCCCAAAGCGAGGAGGCATAGGATTACAACCTAAATGTTTTTTTGAGCAGATTGGTCCATATATCGATGGACTGAGTGGTTGAGAGGCCAAAACAACATAAATGAAGATTTTAAGAATTTGGAGATAGCAATTGGACTTTAAAAAACTCCTCCATACTGGAAAATCTGTTTTATTATTATTTTAATTATAACAGACAAAATAAACAAAACATAACCAAATTTTTTATCATACAATTACATTAAAAGAAGAGAGGGAAAAAGAAAGAAGACAGAAGAAAGGAAAAGGAAAGAAAAACCACATGCACACATATAGCCTTGTGCTCCCCTCACAATTCAAGAATATTCGCCTATTCACATATCAATTTATATTCTTTATTTACTTCCCTAGTTTTACATTTTATGTTGTTGCCCCATTTCTTTCAAAAAACACAATGAGTCTTCACTGAAGTAAAACCTTTCCCCTTCTCAAACACATATAACAAAAACAGTTTCCATGTCTTTAAAGTCATTAGTACTCTTACTCCTTTTCTCATTTTAAGTTCACAAATTGTTTAACATTGACAGCCTTATTTCACATTTCTTTATATCAATCTTCCATATAAAATTGACTATTTCATTTCCAATTCTTTGCAATAATTAACCTTGTCATATTTACCATAATAACAATTAATTCTTTTTCTTCCCAGCTTAATTGGTTGTTACTAACCGTATTCTACAGGGCTATAATTGAAGGCATTTGTACATATTTACCCAGTGTATCCCCCTTCATGGATTGCTGCCTTCTTGTGACAAAGGGGTTTGAGTAATTCAGAGAAGATATGGGCTATGCCGGGCAGGGACACCTAAGACGGACAGGTCATAGTGGAGAGTTTTGACTGAACGTGATCCACCTGGAGTAGGAACTGGCAAGCCACTCCAGTATCTTTGCCAAGAAAACTCCATGGACAGAAACAAATGGCTGAAAGCTATGATGCTGGAAGATGAGTCCTTTGGGTCGGAAGGCATCCAACACGCTACTGAGGAAGAGTGGAGGACAAGTACAAGTAGCTCCAGAGCTAATGAAGTGGTTGGGACAAAGCCGAAAGGACGCTTGACTGAGGATGTGCCTGGATGTGAAAGGAAAGTCCGCCGCTTGACTGAGGATGTGCCTGGAAGTGAAAGGAAAGTCCGATGCTGCAAAGAAAAATACTGCACAGGAACTTGAATGTAAGATCTATGAACCTTGGTAAGCTGAATGTGATCAAACAGGAGATGGCAAGAATAAACATTGACATCCTGGGCATCAGTGAACTGAAATGGACGGGAATGGACGAATTCAATTCAGACGATTATCATATCTACTATTGTGGGCAAAAATCTCATAGAAGAAATGCCGTAGCCCTCATAGTCAACAAAAGTGGGGAAAGCTGCACTGGGATACAATCTCAAAAATGACAGAATGATTTCAATATGAATCCAAGGCAGACCTTTCAACATCACAGTAATCTAAGTTTATGCACCAACCACCA